TGGGTTTGAGCCCCAGCATGGGAGGTGGCAGTGGCAGGGGTGGGGGGGTGAACGGGGAACAGACACAATGTCTACATATAGTCTCTCCTGGATCTGTCAGAATCCTGAATTGACAAAGTGAAGACCTTGACCCCAGCTCCAGGCTCTACTGCTGTGTGACTTTGGACAAGTCTCTCCACTCTCTAAGGTCTGTTTCTTCCTCTATAAAATGAAGCCCAGCACTTCCTCCTCCACACAGGTATATGAGACATGTACTCTGGACCAGGCTCTGTACACAGTTTAGGCAGCATGATAAATGAGACAGTCTTTCCACGGAACCCTTGGAGCTCCAAGCTATCAGAGGAAACCGCCCCAAACTTGTTCAGAAACACACAGATATCTATCTTACTACCAGTGTTACAATAACTAACATTTAAGGGAACTCAGCTTGAGCTCATTCTAAAGATCATTTCTTGGAATCCTTTAACAACTGTATGAGGCACATACTATTTTAGTTCCATTTTGTTCATGGGAAACTGAAGCTTAATGAAGTTAACTTAGAGCCACATGGGTAGGAGTGGTAGTTAGGATTATGTCTTAGCCACTCTCCCATTGGTGGTACAATACCAGACATCCACAGCTAAATGGAAGAAAGGTTTATTTTTTTGCTCACAGTTTCAGTCTATGGTCATTTGGCTCCAAGGCAGGAATAGGATGGCAGAGGGGGCTGGCAGAGGAAAAGGTGCTCAGCCTATAGCAGCTGGGAAGCAGAGAGAGAGAGCAAGGAGGAGCAGAGACAAGAATACACCCTCCCAGGTCACGTGCCAATGACCTACCTCCACCCAGGCCCCACCTGCTAACAGCAAATCACCTTCCCAACACATAAGAATTTTTGCGGACATTTTAGGTCTCAGTCATAACAAAGTCCCAGCGCACGTCTGGACAGCTCCAACACTTGCTTTTTATGCATTAATGTTATCTGATGTGTGTGTGTGTGTGTGTGTGTGTGTGTGTGTGTGTGTGTGTG